CACATTCCACTGTCAATTATCAGAGCTGAGCTGCCCCGTCCGCCGCCCACGTTCAATCCAACCCGATCCAAACCTTATTGAGCAGGACATGACCCTGACTGCCCGATCATCCCAATGCAGAGGTCGCTGAAGTGATCTCACACCATCTCCTTGTAGCCCTCTGCAGCCACAGAGGTTCTGATTGGCTCCTGGATATGCCGTGTCTGGCGCCGCGACAGTGGTTCTTATGGTTGGTGACCGGGGTCGGTGCGGCAGGGGACCCAGTGAGTGGACAGTGTCGGGTGGGGTCAAGTGCGGGAACGGTGGGTTTGATGGGATCGGAAACGGTGGTGGTGCTCTACTGTGTTCGTCGTCCGACGCCCAGTGTGGTGGGTAGTGGTGGGGATACTGGAGATAGGGCCATTGGTTATGTGGCATCAACCTTTGTTCGCCGTCTGAGCGGTAGTTGGCGAAGCCATCGGTGAGTGCGTTGAGATGGTTATTTTATTTGTACCGATGAGGACGTTTGTTTTTCGTATCGGTGTGACAAAGCCTTTGTGTATTTGTTTGCCCTATGATATATGATCGGTAGTCTGTAATGTTTTTTTTCTGCGTCATTGTTCTGACGATATGACAGTGATTGTATGCATATGCGTGTTTTTGTGCATTGTGCTGGTTTATTTGTGCGGCTGATGCCCTGTGAAAAATGATCCCATTATCCAAAACGGTCGCGTGGTACGACCGTGACGTTCAGCACGTATTGAAACCAATGCGATCCCATCCAATCGCTCATCCGATCCATCCCGTGTGCTCCATTCTGCAGTGTTTACGGTGTTTTGTGCCGTGGTTGATCCAGTGTTCCGCGTCCGCCGGCCGGTGCGGCCTTGTGAACCGTTTCACGTGCGGTGTTTTGTCGATCAGTTGCTCTCCGTGCTGTGTGCCGTGCGGAGAGAGACAGGTGGCCGTGGCGCCAGGATTTGCCGTGTTGGTGTACTGTTGAACTTGGTGTCGCTGTGGTGTTTCTGAGTGGAAAATACAGCGTTTCATCAAGTTTTGGAGGGTGAGTCGGAATCTTAGTCATCGTCCATTTGATATGTGAGGTGTTAACTGCTCAATCTGATAACCGTTGTGGCTCTTGCACCCATCATTCTACAGGTAATCCGTAGTATGTTTTACCCGGTCTCTTTCCGGACGTTTCCACATGGCACTGTGTATCTGAAACTGGCTTATCCAGCTTAGTGACCCTCTGACCCCCGTTTTCCCTTCCGGCAGACTCGAGTTCTGACGAGGACGACAGCTCCGTTCCTGGCGAGCCGGCCACCCCCGAGGTGGACCGCTCCCGTCACCACGGCCCGCCCCCGTCCGACACCAGTAGTCTGGGCTCGGCGCGAGACACACCGCCACAGAGCAGGGCACGCACCGGGCCGCTGCCTCCCCTGCCCGGTCAGCAGCCGGCTGTACCGCAGCAGCCGCCGCCGCCGCCGATACAGCAGATACAGCAGCAGCAGATACAGCAGATACAGCAGATACAACAGCAGTCGCAGCAGCCCAACACCGTCCAGAACAGGTGGGAGGACAACACCACGCACCTAGGGGTTAGAAGGGATAAGGATAAGGATAAGAATCAGAAATGAATAGTAAGAGATCGAACAGGAACAGTTAGGGTTGAGGGGGTCAGAAAGGAAAAGGAAGGAATGGAGATTGTAGCGTAGCAATAGGTCCCTTTAGAAGTAATGTCCCTGGACGGGATGCCTGGGACGGGATGTGCGAGCATTAGCATATCCACTGCATAGCATATGACCAAGGATGTCCTGGGTGTGTTAGCCCGCGTGATCTGACCGTATGCGATATGACATCAGCTCTCATCTTTATGCGCTGTCAGTCAGCTACGAGTCACCTGACCAGCAGTCCCGTCACCCGTCCGGGGCACCCAATCTGTCCCTCGGGGTCTGCCCCTCGGGCCAGGTGCCGACACCCCGCTGATACATCAATTAATATTCCACACGCCATAGAGCGCCTGAATCGCACCGGCAAACCATTGAGGCGGCCCTGCACTCCACACCCATTGACAGCCGCGGAGAGTCATTACGGATCGTTATGTGGTGCCGGCGCTCCACAATCCATTCATGACGGGTTCCGACTCCAACAGCATATAGCAGCGGCAGGTGATGGCGGGAGAGAGAGAGAGAGAGAGAGAGAGAGAGAGAGAGAGAGAGAGAGAGAGAGAGAGAGAGAGAGAGAGAGAGAGAGAGAGAGAGAGAGAGAGAGAGACCCGCCAGGTGCGGTTGTTTGTCTCCGGCACCCCCGGTGTCTCTGGGCCGATAGAGACGCCTTGCACGCGTCGCGCGGACCGTCGGCGGACCGCTGTGTGATGTAAACAATGCCGCAGGTGGGGCCCCGGCGCCGCTCCGGCGGAAATTCCAGCGCACCGCGGAGTGGAACAAGCCTTTCACTGCGGGGAGCCGACGGGGTAAGGGGTAGTGGTGGCTCGTCATTGGTCAGTGGCGGCGATTGTATACCGGTATCGGTGGTCTATCGGTTGTTTTTGGCTGGTCGGTCGGTCGGCGAGTGATGCGTGACGCGCAACATCCGGTCAATGTTGGGTTCCGGGACTGTCACCCGTGAATGGCTGTCCATTGTTCATGGCTACGACAGGGGCGATAAAAGCCACGCAATGCCAGGGAGGCAAAGGGTCATCACAGTCCAATATACCTATACCTTTTTTGTGCATCCAGCTTCTACCACCGTCCTTTTACCAGTCTCCGACCATCCACCATTGACAGTGCACACCCCTGTCTGATTATCCTTCCACCTATCCACCAACCACCCCCACCTCGACCTTCCCTCGGTGGAAGAGCGCAGGGTCCGTTATCCACCGGCCAACACTGGTATCTGCGGAGTTTGTTGGACATCAGAGCAGGAATGCCGGCAATGCCTCTGCTGCGCAGGCAGCATCCCTCGGTGGAGTGCATATGAGTTAAAGCCACGGGGCTTTGGTTAGATCGAGGGTCAGCGAGATGCGGCACGTACATTGCCGAGAATTGGTGTTAAAGGGTAGACAAGGGGTGGTAAGTTTAGCCAGTCTAGCTCGTTACCCGTGTTTGAGACAAGGCCTGAGTTTGTTGTACGATGAACACTCATGACATGGACAGGGAAGCTCTGTTTATTTTAATGGTTGAATTGACACCGAAATATCGTTCAGACGAAAGCCTGATGTCAGTGTCACTGATGTCTGTTGACCAAAACAGTTTTATGATGGAAGCGTGGTATCAAAGCTGCCTGTTCGACACCCCCCCCCCCCCCCCCACTATTTATCGTCCACCACCATGGCGTCAGAAGATCCCGGGTGTTGCTTGGAGAGGAATGCGGACACGGTGGTGGGTGCTGCTCCCTATGGGGGTGCGCCGGCCACTAACACACCCCGCTGACCGCTGGTGCGGCTACAAGCCTCTGCGGCGCAGTGTATGGCGTCCGAGGTGCCATCGATGTCGGCTTACTTTTCTGGTAGCTGTAGGCTCGACACTACTCTGTCTTCCCTAGAGGCTGTGGTCCCCAATGGTATGGCGCCTTCGTGGGCTCTAGGGTTGTCGCAAGCTACTTCCGGAGTTTTGAAGCTGACGTTGCTGTGACTTCTCTGGCGCATGTGGCCATGGTATTGCTGTATTGCCTTATTCATCTACCAGCTGTGCCATGATTCCCTGTCTGTCAAATGATGTACGAGCTCTGTTGGCCAACAGACTCCTCTGTATGTCGCGGAGCTATCGTTAGTGAACCCCCACGCTGCATCGAGTTACCCAGCTGGCGTTATGTTACCACGCCGTGTGTAACCCGAGTTGCACTATCTGCGTCGATATCGGGAGAGCCGGGATAATACGCTGTGCGGCCCGCTCCGTCCAATGCACGGTTGGTTTGCAGAATAGCGCAGAAGTCGCCCCGGCGCCTGTGGATAGGCCGTGCGTCAGGAGACATGAGGAATGTGTGACGTCAGAGCGCTGTGCAGCGCAGCCACCACCGCATCTGGCGTGTTTTGTGGTGCCGAGAATGGGCGAGTTATGATGTCAGCCTGCTGTTGCTAGCTGTGGTGTGGCGATTTATTGGTCGGTCGTCGTGGATCTCTCCGTTTTCTAAGCGGACTGTAGGCAAAACAAACTACACATTCAAACGTTTTATGATGAGCCTTTTCCTGGTGTGACCTCAAAATAGCTTATTTTATGTCCACCTCAACCACTTTCCTTCAATCCTGTATCATCATGATGATGATGATGATTCGTGACTCCCTACCGTGTCAAGTGGTGCTCTGAATGTTGATGACTCCTGATTGGCTGTGGTGACCCATACATATCAGATACCCTACCAGTGACCAATGACGGTGATTCGCCGGTCCCCTGTGACGACCCCTCACTGACCCACCACGTCCCCGCTGATGACCCCTCACTGACCCACGGCGTCCCCTCTGATGACCCCTCACTGACCCACCACGTCCCCTGTCTGTCACAGGCTCAGTAGCAGCTCCCAGTCGTCCAACCACGACCGGCAGCGGGCACGACTCCGGGACGAGATGACACAGCTCTCAGAGGTCATGGACAACCTCGCACCCTGTGAGTAGATCGACTGGGCTCGACGGTGGGACGGCAAGCGCCAGTGTCCTGGGGAGTGGTACTTGTCAGGGCGGAGAATATGCCAGCGCTGAGATGGCTTGGGGCTGGTCTTAGTAAGCATGTTTGCAACCAGTTGCTTTGTTTTTTTATGATGGTTCACATCATCTTTTCGTGAGTATTTTTAGATATGGAGTTGCAGCTAAAAACTAGTTCACATTTCCGCTAGATCTCATCTCGCCTCAGGTGCCGCGTCTGGGTCAGTTTTCTGTAGCACGTGGCGCCACCTGGCTATCATGTGTCCGCCTGTGATCTATAACTATTAGCGCAAATGGGGTCAGTCGGTGGCCCGTCCAACGCCCACATTCAGAAACTTCCTGATATGATTGATATGGCATGTTGACGAGCCTTGTGTAGAATATCCAAAGAGGATTGTGATTGCTAACGGGAGGTGCGCAATGCGCATTTATTTAAGCTCTACAGAAAAAGAGTATGTTTGTCAAAAGTGTACGTGCAGAGAATGTGTGTCACAAGAAATTGAGAATGTTATGTGACTGGAGAGAGCGAATGAATTTTGGAGAGAATAGAAAAGGGATTTGAATCGTAGACTTTTATTTTTGATATTAATTTGAGTAATTTGAGTTGCTAGACACAGTGACGTAGCACATTGAGTAAAAATGATATTAACGTAATTTGCTTAACTGAAGTTGAATTGAAACCTTAATAAGGCAATCATAAGTGGAAAGACTCAACATTATGGCGACCCTGGCAGGACTCAAAGAATACTTGGAACTGGCCGAGAAGTATGGTTTAAGCGGCGAATCAGCCTTGAAGTATGCGAACGAGCAGGCAGACAGGGCAGAGAGGGCAAAGGCAAGACAAGAAGAAAGAGAAGAAAAGGCAAGACAAGAAGAAAGAGAAGAAAAGGCAAGACAAGAAGAAAGAGAAGAAAAGGCGAGAAAAGAAGAAAGAGAAGACAAGACAAGACGAGAAGAAAGAGAAGAGCGAGAACTCTTAAGACGACATGAGCTGGAAATGGAGCGATTGAGATTGGAGAGAGCAGAATTAGAGAGCACCGGTGGTTCCAGGGAGCCGCAGCAGCCGAGCGAGCCTGCCCATTCAGGGCCGGCCGTCAAGCGACCCAAACTGCCTGCGTTTACGGATGGCAAGGATGATCTTGACAGCTACCTTAACCGATTTGAGCGACTGGCCAGAGTAAACGGATGGGACGAATCGGAATGGGCTGTCAGTCTCAGCGCTTTGCTGTCAGGTCGAGCGCTCGAAGTTTACACCCGAATGAAGGAGGATGACGCAAACGACTACATGAAACTGAAGTCGGCTCTCCTGCACAGGTATGGCCTCACTGGGGAAGGCTACCGGCTAAGAATGCGTGATGCCAAGCCGGAGCCGGATGAGAGCCCCCAGCAGTTTATTTTTCGTCTGGCTAGTTACCTAGAGAAATGGATCACGCTGACTAAAACTGATCAGTCATTCGATGGTCTGAAAAACTTGATCATTCACGAACAGTTTATGAACACCTGTCCCAAGCCCCTCGCCATCTATTTGCGAGAAAAGGCCACCTACTGCTTAGATGAGCTAGCTGAGTACGCGCAAAGGTTCTTGGAAGCCCATGATCGGTCTCCCAGCAGTCTGAGTAGGCGTGCGACGGTCACGGAAGACCATACCGCGCACGCACCATCCAGAACCACTAGCTCAGCGACAGCGCTGCGAACTTCTCGAGAACAGGGCCAGAACTGTCTGTTCTGCCAGTTTCCACACCCGACCGAAGAGTGCCGAAGGGCTCAGACGCTCTCAGCCGCGGAGCGTCGAGAGCAGGCGATGCGGCGTGGGGCCTGCTTCCTGTGCTTTCAGCCGGGACACCTCGCCGCGCACTGCCGGGAGGACAAGCCCAGATGTCCGCTTTGCGGTGGGAAGCACAACCAGCTGGTCTGCGCTCCGCGGTCCAGCTTGCCATCTACTGCCAGCTCCAGCGCGCGAGATGGAAACGTACGGGAGGCATCAGCGACGGCAGCTAGCACCAACATGACTAGAAAGGAAGGAGCAGTTCTGATGCAGACGGCCCAGGTAAAAGCGACAGGAGCAACAGGAGCACGACTTGTCAGAATAATGCTGGACTCTGGAAGCAACCAGTCTTTCATACGGACGAAGACAGCGCGTGAGTTGGGCTGCGAGGTGCTGAGCCAGGAGCACCTGCGGGTCCACACCTTCGGAGGCGGCCAGGGGCTGCAACAGGCCAGTGATAGGGTAAAAGCAACCCTATCAGCAACACATAACGAGGATAGCAGAATCACTCTGACAGCTTACGAAATGCCAGTCATCTGCAGTCCACCTCCGGCCGTGACGCAAGAGGATCTCCGTGGCCATCTGCATTTAGCTGGCCTGAAACTGGCTGAGGAGCCCAGCGCTGATCCCCTCAACGAAGAGATCGATATCCTAATCGGTCTTGACTACATGCAAGATGTGATTGACGGGAGGATGAAGAAGGGAGAGGACGGACCCGTGGCCATGGGATCACGATTCGGCTGGATTCTGGCTGGCCGTTCAGGCCGGAGCATCACAGAGTCGACGCCAAGTATCGTGAACTTCATCAGGGCCGAGTCGACTGATCGCCTTCTGGAAGAGCTATGGAACCTGGAACGCATTGGGATAAGCAGCGAAGGAGTCAGTGACCGCGACTCTAAGAGAGAACTGGAAGAACTCGCTACAAAACACTTCGAAGATACTTGTAACCGCCTTCCAGATGGTCGGTATGAAGTCCGCTGGCCCTGGAAGCCCGGACATGTAGAGATACAGACAAATGAAGCGCAGGCTCTGGTTCGCCTTGAGGTCTGTGAAAGACAACTACGAAAAAACGGGCGTCTCAAGCAATATGATGATGCGATGCAAGACTACTTAGAGCAGGGACATGCTGAGAAGGCGCCGGCTGTTCCAGATGGACCGGTGCACGTCCTTCCTAACCACGCAGTATACAAGGATGATAAAGTCAGAGTGGTGTTTGATGCGGCAGCTGGCCCTCCGAATCAGTCACTGAACGACCACCTCCTGGCGGGACCCAACTTGATCGCTGACCTGACAGGGGTGCTCCTGAGATTCCGGACGAAGAGCGTGGGCGTGACAGCGGACATAGAGAAGGCTTTTCTGCAGCTGTCGCTCCATCCTGAAGACAGGGATGTGACACGGTTTCTCTGGAGGGAGAACGCCACCGATCGAGATCCAGTTCTCTACCGGATGACTCGAGTAGTTTTCGGAGTCAAGCCCTCACCGTTCCTACTGCAGGCCGCCCTCAGAAAACACCTGCAGCAGTATGGAGAGTCAGATCGGGACCTGGTTGACAAGTTACAGAGGGACATCTACTGTGATGACTTGATAACAAGCGTGGACACTCAGGAGGAGGCGCAGACTCTGGTTGAGCGAACCAGGGAAATATTTGAAGCCGCACGGATGAACATGAGAAAGTGGACGGTGAGCCGGTCAGAAGACATAAGCAGCGGTGAACAGACCAAGGTGCTCGGAGCCCATCCTGACACAGCTTGCAAGGTGTTAGGAATAAACTGGATTCCAGACCAAGACAAGCTGGTGTTTGAAACACGCAAGTTCGCGGAGCTCACTACCGAAGCACCAGAGACGAAGAGGAGTATTCTTCGCATGTCAGCACGTTTCTTCGATCCGTTAGGAATGCTTACACCATTCTCCGTGCGCACCAAGATGATGCTGAAACAGCTGTGGCTGGAGGGTCTGGCCTGGGACCAGCGGGCTTCCGAGGGTGTCTGCAGGAGCTGGAGACAATGGCTGACGGAGCTCCATCAACTGAACGGCTTCTCTGTGCCCAGACCCTATGGAAACAGACTTCAAGACGGATACCAGCTCCACATCTTCTGTGATGCCAGCAAAGAGGCGTACGCTGCTGTGGCGTACACAAGAGCCGCTGAACAGGATCAGGCAGTCGGCCCGCCTGCCCTGGTGATGTCCAAGTCGCGGCTCACACCTCGCCAGCCGGTGTCACTGCCGAGACTGGAGCTGACAGCGGCCCTGATTGGTGCTCGGCTAGCTTGCTATGTTAGGCAGCAGCTGCACGCGACACCACAAGCCGTGTACTTCTGGACGGACTCGATGGTGGCTCTGCACTGGATCCGTAGCGACGCCAGACGCTGGGGTGTGTTCGTGAAGAACCGAGTCTGCGAGATCCAAAGTCTCAGCTCTCCTGCTGCCTGGAACCACTGTCCCGGAGCGGAGAATCCCGCCGACCTGCCTTCCCGCGGCACGCCTGCGGAGAAAATGAAAGGTGAATTCTGGCTGCACGGACTTGAGTGGCTCAGAGAAGCGAAAATCAGATGGCCACAGGGGATGCGAAATGAACAGGAACCTGCGGAATGCAAGGTCGAAGAGAGAAAGCAAGCACTTCCGGCCTCCAGCAGCTATGAGCCTGCGCCAGGTATTGGTCGTTTGATCAATATTCAACGGTTCAGCAGTTTGAACAAGCTCCTGAGAGTCACAGCTTACGTCCTGCGCTGGATCTGTAATAGCAGATCGTCAGAGAAGCAAGACGGTATCATGACAGCAGAAGAGCTCGCGAGGGCGGAGCGACTTTGGATTCTGGACGCGCAACGCTCTCAGTTCAGTGAAGAAGTGGAGGCTCTGAAAGCCGGTCACACCGTGCCCCCTGGATCGAGAATAAAAGATCTCGGTCCGTTCTTGGACGGGGAGGTCCTGAGAAAGGAAGGTAGGCTGCACTATGCTGCGCTGCCAGAGGAGGAAAAGCGGCCAATCATCATGCCACCGGATCATAGATTCGTACATCTCTTGATCGAGAAGACGCACAAGCAGCTGTGTCATGCCGGCACCCCGCAAGTTCTGAGCGCCATCCGTGATCGGTATTGGATCGTTCGGGGACGACAGAAGGTGCGGTCAGTGCTGCTGAGCTGTCGGAGCTGCCACCTGTTCCGCGCCAGACCGTTCTGCCACCAGAGGCCGGCCCCTCTACCCCGCAGTCGGACCACACCGGCCCGGCCCTTCAGCAGAACAGGTGTGGACTTCGCAGGGCCACTGTATGTGAGACAGGGAAGAAATTCCTGCCCCCTCAAGGCGTATATCGCCGTCTTCACCTGCGCAGTAGTTCGTGCAGTTCATCTGGAAATGGTGAAGTCGCTGACAACAGAGGACTTCATGAAGGCTTACCGCCGATTTAGCGCCCGACGAGGCTGCCCGGCCAGCCTCATGAGTGACAACGCCACAACATTCCGTGGCGCTGCGTCCGTGCTGGCTGCAGAGGGTGTCAAATGGCACTTCATCGTTGAGCGCGCTCCGTGGTGGGGCGGCTTTTGGGAGCGGATGGTGGGACTCACCAAGGCCGCTCTGCGACGCACCCTGGGATCTTCACTGATGTTGTGGGAAGAGTTGGAGACCGTTCTGTGCTCGGTGGAGTCAGCGATCAATGCGAGACCTCTAACGCCCGTCAGCGATGATCCCGATGATATTCAACCGCTACGACCCGCTGACTTTCTGCACTGTGCCTTCGAACGGAGCGAGGCTGCCGGGAGGCAATCGGAACAGCTGACGCGGAGGCGCCGCTACCAGCAGAGGATCGTCACCAGCCTGTGGACTCGGTGGCAGCGCGAGTACCTTCGGAACTTGCGAGACTTCCGTCACAACGCCTCAAGAGTGGACCTCGAGCCGGCACCGGGCGATGTTGTGCTGATCGAGGGGGAGAGGTCATCCAACCGGCTCGTCTGGACCACGGGCACAGTGAAGACCCTGCACCCTGGCCGGGACGGGCGGTCCCGGGCCGCGACCGTGCACACCCTCCGGGGGGACGTGCGGCGTCCTATTCAGAAGCTGTACCTGCTGGAGGCGGCCTCTCCACCTGAGGAATGAATTCCACCCCGGGGGAGAATGTAGAATATCCAAAGAGGATTGTGATTGCTAACGGGAGGTGCGCAATGCGCATTTATTTAAGCTCTACAGAAAAAGAGTATGTTTGTCAAAAGTGTACGTGCAGAGAATGTGTGTCACAAGAAATTGAGAATGTTATGTGACTGGAGAGAGCGAATGAATTTTGGAGAGAATAGAAAAGGGATTTGAATCGTAGACTTTTATTTTTGATATTAATTTGAGTAATTTGAGTTGCTAGACACAGTGACGTAGCACATTGAGTAAAAATGATATTAACGTAATTTGCTTAACTGAAGTTGAATTGAAACCTTAATAAGGCAATCATAAGTGGAAAGACTCAACACCTTGACAGTTATTATATGTGGCGTAGAACTGCTCTGCTTTGTGGTTGTGATCGTCAGTGTGGTGTATTGCGATTCCTTCGCCTGTCACATGATACCACAAACACACATGGTATCTTCGTTTTAGGATAGATGGATTTGGCCGAACCTGCCTCACTTTGTCCTTTTACCATCCTCCCTATCTGTATCTCTCCGTCCACCGTTCACTGTCTCTTATATTTGTTGTCTAATGTCTCTTTCCAGTCTCTACCATCTCCCAACAGTCCATATCCGTCTCTCTCCCTCCACTTTTCCACACCAGTCCGTCTCTCGCCGCCCTTCTCTCACCGTTCTCCGCCTCTAACTTTGAGCTCCCGTGCCAGCCGAGCGGCTGTTGACTGCCGCTGTGTGCTAGTTGCCGGAGCAGTTTACTTGGCAGTCGAGAGCAGTAGAGATCTCATTAGATGCCGTCGATTGAAGCCGGCGCCGGCTCCGTGCTAAACAGGTGCCGCCTGCGAAACTGGCCCGCTGCAACCGATAGCTCTGATAGCTGATACTGTTAGCGAACACAGGCAGGGTGTTTCCGAGCTACAAATCAGGTTAATTGAAGCTTACGGCCTAGGACAGACGCCGCCGGCTGTTAGGTCTTATGAAATCGGGTGGCGAAATGGGGCTGAATTGTATACGATGGTCATATGCCAGTCTGTTTTCGAGGCTGGAAGGGATGTGGTGTTTAACATGGCCAGGTCGTGGGACAGAGCTGCTTTATGACGGCCCTGAGGCGATGTCGTTTGCTGATGGGCTGGGACATTCCCATGACACGTGGATTGCTCGAATGACTGTCAGAAGTTGTAGAGTGGTGACAGGCGTGGTCAGCGTTACGGGGGGGGGGGGGGGCACATGAATGAAAGAGTGGTGTTGTGTTGAACAGAGCAACGTTCATGTGCTTATGGCTGGAACGGGCCGGGTCCTAAAGCTTAGTGTGGCGGTGTGGTGTGGTGTGCGCCCGCTGTTATCAGGCGCCATGAATTTGTGTATAATGAATAGACCTGCTATCCAAGCTCTCGCCGTGTCCGCCGGTAGTCCAGTGGGCTGGGTGATGCTGGTGTGGTGAATAGTCGCGTGATTTGCTTGGCACCACCACCGTTGTTCAGCTAATGGGTCGTATTGTTTTATCTATCGCCTCACTTAGCCTTTTTTAAAGTCTGAAGGACTATATTGTCAGACATTTGATGTCCCTGTAATGGCACTCTTCATAACCCGTAATTACAAAAGTTCGCTGAAGCTATCGAGGTCTAAGCGGCCGCATTTGGTGACAGTCAAAAGGCTTAATTCTTAACCTCAGTCCTTACTGCTCAAACCGTGCCTCCACTCTACACTACACAGCTTCGTGACTCACCCCTCTCTCTCTCTCTCTCTCTCTCTCTCTCTCTCTCTCTCTCTCTCTCTCTCTCTCTCTCTCTCTCTCTCTCTCTCTCAACAGACTGTGAGCCTCCGGACGTGACCCACAACACGGGCAGCAGTCGCAGCTCGCGCTACCAGCCGCCGCACATGGCCTCTGTACGCGTCAACAGCAGTACCAGCATCACGGCCGCGCTGGACGAGGCGCACGGAGGTATGTGGGATTGTCAGCGGGAAGTCGGGGGTAGATTGGCGTGTGGTGGATGGTAATGTGGGGGCGAGGGGGTCTTCATATGGTGTACATAGGTAGGCATTATCGTGGAGGGACCCTTTTAGCTTCTTATCAGAACTTTATGTGTCTGAAAGTTTCCATGCAAGTGTCCTGTAAACCGTCGCCTAAGTGGACGTGCGTGAAGTTAGCGTCGTATTCCGCGACGGATTCAGCGTCGAGTCCGAATTTCAACTAAACCCAACCTATCCGATGCAGTTTGGGACGCTGATTCCGAATATCGTATTCATTTCAAATTTCAAGGTCATCTTCAAGGTCAAATCACGGATTGAAATTGAGTCCCCGATTTTTCCTACACCGATCGTCCGATCCGATTTCTGAAGGTCGCATTCGAAAGCAAGGGTCATAATCTCGAATTCCCTAATATATACCTTATTAAAAATATTTGACCTTAAAGGTCAAATCACGGATTGAAATTTTGAGTCCCCCTATTTTTTCTACACCGATCGTCCGATCCGATTTCTGATGGACGCATTCGATAGCTAGGGTCAGAATCTCGAGTTCCCTAATATATACCTTATTAAAAATATTTGACCTTAAAGGTCAAATCACGGATTAAAATTTGAGTCCCCCTATTTTTTTCTACACCGATCGTCCGATCAAATTTCTGATGGTCGCATTCGATAGCTAGGGTCAGAATCTCGAGTTCCCTAATATATACCTTATTAAAAATATTTGACCTTAAAGGTCAAATCACGGATTGAAATTTTGAGTCCCCCGATTTTTTCTACAACGATCGTCCGATCCGATTTCTGAAGGTCGCATTCGATAGCTAGGGTCAGAATCTCGAATTCCCTAATATATATCTTATTAAAAATATTTGACCTTAAAGGTCAAATCACGGATTGAAATTTTGAGTCCCCCTATTTTTTCTACACCGATCGTCCGATCCAATTTCTGATGGTCGCATTCGATAGCTAGGGTCAGAATCTCGAGTTCCCTAATATATACCTCATAAAAAAAATATTTGACCTTAAAGGTCAAATCACGGATTGAAATTTTGAGTCCCCAATTTTTTCTACACCGATCGTCCGATCCAATTTCTGATGGTCGCATGTGATAGCTAGGGTTAGAATCTGGAGTTCCTAAATATATATCTTATTAAAAATATTTGACCTTAAAGGTCAAATCACGCATTGAAATTTTGAGTCCCCAATTTTTTCTACACCGATCGTCCGATCCGATTTCTGATGGTCGCATTTTATAGCCAGGGTCAGAAACTCGAGTTCCCTAATATATACCTTATTAAAAATATTTGACCTTAAAGGTCAAATCACGGATTGAAATTTTGAGTCCCCCTATTTTTTCTACACCGATCGTCCGATCCAATTTCTGATGGTCGCATTCGATAGCTAGGGTCAGAATCTCGAGTTCCCTAATATATACCTTATAAAAAATATTTGACCTTAAAGGTCAAATCACGGATATTCGACCTTAAGGGTCACATGACGGATTGAATTTTTGAGTCCCCCGATTTTTTTCTACACCGATCGTCCGATCCAATTTCTGAAGGTCGCATTCGATAGGTAGGGTCAGAATCTCGAATTCCCTAGTATATACCTTATTAAAAATATTTGACCTTAAAGGTCAAATCACGGATTGAAATTTTGAGTCCCCAATCTTTCCTACACCGATCGTCCGATCCAATTTCTGATGGTCGCATTCGATAGCTAGGGTCAGAATCTCGAGTTCCTAAATATATACCTTATTAAAAATATTTGACCTTAAAGGTCAAATCACGCATTGAAATTTTGAGTCCCCCTATTTTTTCTACACCGATCGTCCGATCCAATTTCTGATGGTCACATTCGATAGCTAGGGTCAGAATCTCGAGTTCCCTTATATATAGCTTATTAAAAATATTTGACCTTTAAGGTCAAATCACGGATTGAAATTTTGAGTCCCCCTATTTTTTCTACACCGATCGTCCGATCCAATTTCTGATGGTCACATTCGATAGCTAGGGTCAGAATCTCGAGTTCCCTAATATATAGCTTATTAAAAATATTTGACCTTAAAGGTCAAATCACAGATATTCCACCTTAAAGGTCACGTCACGGATTGAAATTTTGAGTCCCCCAATTTTTTCTACACCGATCGTCCGATCCGATTTCTGAAGGTCGCATTCGATAGCTAGGGTCAGAATCTCGAATTCCCTAATATATACCTTATTAAAAATATTTGACCTTAAAGGTCAAATCACGGATTGAAATTTTGAGTCCCCCTATTTTTTCTACACCGATCGTCCGATCCAATTTCTGATGGTCACATTCGATAGCTAGGGTCAGAATCTCGAGTTCCCTTATATATAGCTTATTAAAAATATTTGACCTTTAAGGTCAAATCACGGATTGAAATTTTGAGTCCCCCTACTTTTTCTACACCGATCGTCCGATCCAATTTCTGATGGTCACATTCGATAGCTAGGGTCAGAATCTCGAGTTCCCTAATATATAGCTTATTAAAAATATTTGACCTTAAAGGTCAAATCACAGATATTCCACCTTAAAGGTCACATCACGGATTGAAATTTTGAGTCCCCAATTTTTTCTACACTGATCGTCCGATCCGATTTCTGAAGGTCGCATTCGATAGCTAGGGTCAGAATCTCGAATTCCCTAATATATACCTTATTAAAAATATTTGACCTTAAAGGTCAAATCACGGATTGAAATTTTGAGTCCCACTATTTTTTCTACACCGATCGTCCGATGCAATTTCTGATGGTCGCATTCGATAGCTAGGGTCAGAATCTCGAGTTCCCTAATATATACCTTATTAAAAATATTTGACCTTAAAGGTCAAATCACGGATTAAAATTTTGAGTCCCCCTATTTTTCTACACCGATCGTCCGATCCAATTTCTGATGGTCGCATTCGATAGCTAGGGTCAGAATCTCGAGTTCCCTAGTATATACCTTATTAAAAATATTTGACCTTAAAGGTCAAATCACGGATTGAAATTTTGAGTCCCCCTATTTTTTCTACACCGATCGTCCGATCCAATTTCTGATAGTCGCATTCGATAGCTAGGGTCAAAATCTCGAGTTCCATAATTTATACCTTATTAAAAATATTTGACCTTAAAGGTCAAATCACTGATTGAAATTTTGAGTCCCCCTATTTTTTCTACACCGATCGTCCGATCCAACTTCTGATGGTCACATTCGATAGCTAGGGTCAGAATCTCGAGTTCCCTAATATATAGCTTATTAAAAATATTTGACCTTAAAGGTCAAATCACAGATATTCCACCTTAAAGGTCACATCACGGATTGAAATTTTGAGTCCCCCAATTTTTTCTACACCGATCGTCCGATCCGATTTCTGAAGGTCGCATTCGATAGCTAG